TTTGACAGCTGAACTCCGCCATTTAATTTGCATGTGCAACCAAAGTCAGACGCATGTTTTGAAGGTGTTTTTATTTAATGAATTGTGATTAATTGGTTAAAAATAAAGTCGTAAATCAAGTTATAACTAATCGAGTAAAGTGTAAAGTGAAGGGGAATACATAAATGAATTGGTGAAGTGGCTGCTTTAAGGAGAATAGGAGTGATAAATGTACGCTAATTTCCAAATTTTACAAAAAAAGGGCATATTTCAAACCCAATTTGTAAATAAATTAGTGACCAAAAATTACAATAGTGGATGTTAAAATAATGGGTAGACCCTTGGCTACAAGTGTGTGCAATTTTTTTTGGATCGGGTCACCCCTTTGGACGCAATACCCCGAAATAGGTGGGCCACTTACTAAACAGTACCCACTAGAAGTGTACTCGTACCCAAAATTATTAAAAGTTTTAGAAAACTTTCAGAGGTTGTGTGTTCTCGTACCCAAAAAACTTGTAAAGTAGGGAAAATTGAGAGAACAAAATGTGATAGAGACCTGCAAATTTATGCTGGAAAAATGTTTACTTGTGGAAACTTGCAAGTATGAAAATCAGCTGATCACAAACATCTGTTCGTGAATAAAGAAAAGAAAATACGGCCTTTTTGAATTATTTATTGCAAATTTTGTTACTAATGCAGGTATACAATGAAAAAGTGAGTAAATTTATTAAGCACAACGTTTGTTAAGTTTACAATTTTGTGCAGTTATTTACCAAGGTGCGTTCATGAAAGAATGCGGATAAATTGATAAATTTAAGCAATTTATCCCTTTATCACTTTAGATGAAGACCCCTAATATCCAGTTTGTTTACTTTAGAGTGTGTTGACTATGGTTGCCGTATGACATTTTTCGATTGTACCATAATTTTTCTTATATGTATATACCCAAATACATAAATTAAAATGCAGCAAGCTTAAAGCTTAATTACCCTATTCCAGTTTTCATTGTAAACTAGCATTATAAAATTTGCTAGTTTAGATCAGTAAAATTTTTTGCAGCAGAGATTTTTAGCTTCCCCTGAAAATTAAATGTCATTTTGCTCATACAGTTTCCCCAACAATGCAAGTTTTAGGGTATGTGAATCGTAAAACGCGAAAATTTTTTAAAATTTCCAAAAATTATCGAATAATAATGTCATTTCTATCGTCTGCAATTTACGAATTTTCTTCAATTATCGACGACTTCTATAATATGGCAGCGCTAAGCATACGTGTTATGTAGCGGCAATCAGTGTCATCTAGGGTGAAACGATATCGATAAAAGGTATCGATACTTTTAAGTATCGGATGGGTAGCATCGATACTTACTCGGTATCGAACATTTGTACTCCAATTATATTTATTTTTTTATACTAAATTAAAAATTGGTGCATTACGCGATGTACCAAAACCGCGGCGTTTTTATTTTTTATTTATTTATTCTTATCATAAATCATACATTTTTATTATTTAACACAAAATTACTTTTGTTATCGAAAAGTTGAATGTTAAGAAAATTTACTGCTTTGACAGTTTCTTTTATTCTCCTATCCTGCTTTATTTACTTTTACTTAGCTTACGTCTCCACCGCCAGGACGGTGCAATTTTGTATTCTATCACTCTTGAATGTATTTCCCATCGTTACAAATTTAAAAAAAAAAATAAATAGTAATTTAGTACAAGTGAAAATAATTTAGTACAATTGAACTATTTTTCACAAGGAACTGATGATGCAACAACTATTAAAAATAACCGAGCTTTCATATAACCTCACACTCTTCCAAAAGTTTTTTTTTTTAATTGATGATAAAGGCGCAGATAAATATATTGTTAGTTCATCAGGCTGACTAGTTCTTTCTTACAATAAAATTACTTTACAATATTTGCTGCGAGAAGTAATTAAGAATTTGCATGAAGATTATTGCAGGAATGCCAATAATAGAGTTGCCGTAGCAAGTTGAAGCTAGCATTCTCTTTTACCAACTTGCATTCAAAAACAAAAAGTTTTTCAGTAGTGTTCTCAATGTATCGAAAGAAAAGTATCGGTACTTACTTGGTATCGGATTGAAAAGCATCGAGTAAAAAAATACTTCGCATCGCAACAAAAGTATCGAGTATTTACCTGTACTCGCTGGTATCGTTTGCTCCCTAGTGTCATAATTAGATCGCTTGGATTTGTTTATGGAAATATGGGTTTTTCCCAAACGCATTTATTGAATTATTTATAAATTAATAATGTAAAATAACGAAAATATTAACCACTGTAAATCTCGCTATAATACAAGCACAGCAAACAAAGTTTAATAATCTAAAACACTTAATTTATTGACCACTAAGCGCTCCGAGAACAAAGAAAAGTGGCTGAAATGAATACTTCACATTTTGTGCTGTCTGCCTGCTGTGCGTCTTTGGTATTTTTGGCATTTTGCATAGCCGAATCTGCGAGCGATGAGGTAAGCATTTCCAATTGCCGATATGGGGTCAGAAAGCAATGCTTGAAATTGGGATTGGATTACTTATGTATTGCTGGCATATGTTTGCCTCATATGTAAAGTACATACATATTTGTACTTACCACGAAGTATGTAGCAGCGTATGTGTGGTGTCGTACTTCAATATGAATGGTGAAGGGCGGAGAATTTACTGTTGCGCTTTTTAACATACTCCGGCGCTGATAAGTTTATTGATTTCTAGCTTTACTATGAGTTATTTATGAATGTCGTGAGATATATTTTCACATTTATATTTAAAATAACACTATTGCTTTAATTTTAAATGCCATGCATTGTAGCGCTATTTGCCTCTGCCTGCTGACGATACGGTCTTGAGCACAAATAAGCGCTTTCAACAGATCATGCAAGGTGGCGGCTCAGCAGATATAACGTGGCCGCAGCCACCCAAATTGAAAACCGACAAGATCGATGTAAAGGCTGAAATAGAAAAATTGAATACAAGTAAGATATCATGTTTTTGTATAATTTGTATGCTTGTAGAATATTACCCCTTTTGCAGCTTATGTATATCAAAGTTCATGGCCAAGTGCAGATCTTAAATTAGGATCTGTCACCGCAGTTAGTTTTGACAAAGACGGAAATGTAGTTATATTTCATCGTGTAGATCGTATTTGGGATGAATATACGTTCATCGGAAATGTTTTTAAACAACGAAAGAAGGGGCCCATTCGAGACAACACTGTGCTGGCATTGGAACGTAAAACCGGGGAAGTGGTCTATGGTTGGGGGAAAAACTTGTAAGTTATTTTTATTAAACTGAAATCAAAGTACGTATGTTGTTAGCATCTGAAATTGACTTACTGCAGTACCAGGCTTAATGAATCAAAACTGTCAATTTCAGATTCTACATGCCTCATGGATTGACAATCGATCATGAGGATAATGTATGGCTTACTGATGTGGCGCTGCATCAAGTCTTCAAGTTTGGACCACGCGGTACTTCCGATCGGCCACTATTGACTTTGGGTACCGCGTTTACGCCCGGCGTTGGTGATTCGAAATTTTGCAAGCCTACTTCCGTTGCAGTATTGGAAAATGGTGACTTTTTTGTTGGCGATGGTTATTGCAATGCTCGAATTTTAAAATATGATAAAAATGGAAAGAAAATTCTATCCTGGGGTCAAAACTCATTCGCTGGTAAGAAATTGATTACACATTCATATTGTGAGATGCAATTTTAACTTCATTATTTTCTATTTTTATTTCGTAACAGGCGTTTCCTTTGAAGTAGCACCAAAAAATTACTTCGCCATTCCACATGCACTTACACTTGTGCCTGAGCAGCAATTGATTTGCGCAGCTGATCGTGAAAATGGGCGTGTGCAGTGTTTCTTTTGGACTAACGGTACATTCCATTCGCAATATCATAATCAAATTATTGGCGATCGTTTATTCAGCATGGATTATACACCTGCAGAAGGTAGTGAAAGAATAATTTTATTTGTCATTGCAAATAAAAAGTTAATTATGTTACTTACAGGCGGCGAACTTGTAATTGTTAATGGACCCACCGCTGAATTGGGGGTCAAAGTACAGCATTATAATGAAGTTCGTGGCTACGTAATGAACATGCGCACTAAGCAAGTGGTATCGAAATTCGGTCCCAATGACATGCAATTTTCAAATCCACACGATGTTGTCGTAACCAAAGATGGCAATGAAATCTATGTCGCTGAGTTAGATCCAAAGCGTATACATAAATTTCTGCATAAAACTATTGCCAAATCGATGCCGCTGTCAGCAGCTAAAACACTTTCCAGCAGCGGCAGTAA